GTATCCTCATCTTTGTTGTATTCAACTCTCCAGCCTTCCTAGTGTTGTCTAAAGTTCTCAGATGAAGTATTGTCATTATTCCATGAATTATTCAGACTAGTATCCTCATCTTTGTTGTATTCAACTCTCCAGCCTTCCTAGTGTTGTCTAAAGTTCTCAGATGAAGTATGGTCATTATTCCATGAATTATTCAGACTAGTATCCTCATCTTTGTTGTATTTAACTCTACGGTTTTTTTCATGGCTGTCATTATTCTGTGAAGTAGCATACTAACGCCGAAAGAGATGCTATTATTTACGCACATATCGTGGCTTTATCATAAGAATATAGATGTGAATATGAATTCTGCTTGGTGCATATAAAACTTCTAGATTCGCTCAATGAGTCTTCCCTACAAACATCTGATAAATGGTTATTTGGGTAGTTTTATTCCAGGGGATTGAATTGTGCACATTGATTATTGGTGTTGATAAAACCGTCTTCGATGTATTATAATACATCTGACACACACACACACACACACACACACACACACACACACACATAGATATATATATATATATATATATATATATATATATATATATATATATATATATATATAATTTTGTTTCTCACCGGTAGCACAAATTTCATGCACGAGGCAATCAATACCAAACACAGAGTTGTACTACATTATTATTAGTAGTATATATATATATATATATATTATAGCGCTTTTTTATAATCTATTTTAATACTTACTATTTATTAATAGTTCTGATGAATCATTCAACAATTTTTTTCTCTTCATTTTGTACGATCTCCCGCTAACGATCCACAAACAATTCTCGACGTTAAAAATCAATAGGTTTTGGCTCGAAAAATTCATCAAACTACGTTTTTAGCGCCACATATAAGAGATTCCCGCTCTCCACGTATTCTTTCGTTTATTAACCTAGAATTTCATGACTTCTTTGTAAAGATAAATCTATTGGTTTCTTGTTACCTTCTCCATAGTAATGAATTTATTGTTTCGGTTAGTATACTTTTGATCTGCAAACTTCAGTGCATATTATGAGCACATGTAGGATATATAACGGTTGCCCTTCGATTTGAACCGGTTAAGATTCTAGTGATAAAGGAAGCAACCTCTCGGGAGTCAGTTTTACAATGTAACGGTTCTGAGAAAGAAGCTATCTCAGTGGAACTTACTCCTCACCAATGGAATATGAGGGGTATGAGTTGACTCAGTGTACGTAGCCTAGCATGTGTCCTAGTTGTGAAGGTCTGAACTGGTGGAACCAAAGAATATAGTTCGTCCGAACAACTTCCATGAAATCACCGACACAGTGGGGAGGGGCTAGTAATGTTTCATAGGTGGAAAAGTGGTTGTATGGTGGGGAACAATTTATTGCATTTGGTCGAGGCTGAAAAAGAAAGCATGGAGATCTCCAGCCCAGTTGTGACAGCAATATTTCATTTTTGGTTTGATCTCAAAACTGCTTTCATTTAACCACCATAGAGAACCTTTTTTTGCCTGCCATCAACATGGCTGACGCTAGACCCCATGGGAGCAACACGCAACGCCTTCTTGGCCTCGCATTTTTCACTGACTTGAATTAGAGGGACTACATCGAATCAATAGTCTGCACCCACTGCAAGGAAAGTTGGCTCACTGCAGAAAATATTTCTTGTCAGGGTCCATATTTCACATTTACAAATCTACCATTCGCCCGTGCATTGAATCCTGCTGCCATATCTGATTTGGTGCTCCTGCTATTCATTTCGAGGTTCTTGACAAAATGCAAAAGAAGGATCTGTAATGTAATCGACTTGGCATCTTGACTTCAATCACTTTCTCACTGACGTGATGTGGTTTACCTCTGTCTTTTCTCCAAAGTTTTTCATGGCAACTGCTCTGACGAATTTTTTTCCCTGGTTTCCCGACTACATGAATTTAAGAGTGTTTCAAGATTCCTGTTTACTGTTGAAATAGCTAAATGCAACCACCACTTCTACTCCAACAGTTTCATTTGTCACACTTCCCGCCTGTGGAACTCTTCCGTTTACTAGCTTCCCTGATGAGTAAAATCTTCAAAAATTTAAGTGCAACGTCAATCGGCATTTTCTTTCTTTTTGAATCCCATTCATCTTTTGTCTTTTCCTCAATCCTTCCAATAATCAGTCTTTTCTTTCACTTTCACCCCCTTTAACCCCATGCATACTAGAAGCATTTCCGCCTTGCTTTAGGTGAGATGATTAAAAAAAGTTAAAAAAAAACTGGCTCTTATAAAGATAAAGTACGGCAGATCGTTTCTGGAATGTTACAGGTAGCCGAGCAGTTTACCAGTTTCTTTTACGATAGATCGTATATACGAGTTCGGCTAGTGTGAGTTTATGACTGAATAATCATTCCAAGCAAGGAGCCTCATTAATAGTACAACAGGAGAAAACTCTTAATTTTGGAGGCATTGGACATTACAAGTCAGTCCCTCCGCCACTGAACTGTGCAAGCAAG